GATTGTTTTTGTATCCAACATGCCTGTCCCCGATGCCGATATCCACCCCGAGGCCACCGGCCCCGCCAAAGCGCTGGTCGCCTCCCACCAAGCCGAACAGCCCTTGAAGTTCTATGCGGGGTGGTTCTGTCCGTGGGTCTCCCCGCAGCACACTATCTACAAGTTACATCCAGTATACTAACGCCTCCAGCTTCGGTATTCACCGTCTAATCCCCAACCCGACAGCCCTAACTGACCCGAACCAGTGCAACGCGTCTGGCTCGCCCTCGAAGAGAAACAGATCCCCTACCAATACATCGAAGTGAACCCCTACCACAAGGAGCCGTCCTTCCTGGCCCTGAACCCGCGCGGCCTCGTCCCAACCATCACCTCCCCGGACGAGTCTGGATCTGCGCGCCCCCTCTACGAATCCACAGTCATCCTCGAATACCTCGAAGAAGCCTACCCGACGCACACGCCCGCCCTCCTCCCCAAGGACGCATACCTCCGCGCCCGCGCCCGCATCTGGATCGACTACGTCACGTCCCGGATCATCCCCGCCTTCCACCGCTTCCTGCAGCATCAGCCCAACCCTGCCTCTTCGACCCCGGACACGAATCAGACAGGAGGGGGAGGGGATGAGCTCCAGACCCTCCGCGCGGAATTCCTGGCCACGCTGAAGGAGTTCACGCGGGAGCTGCACCCGCAGGGCCCGTATTTCCTGGGCGAGGAGCTGAGTCTCGTGGATGTCGTGCTTGCGCCGTGGGCGGTTCGCTTGTGGGTGTTTGATGAGTTGAAGGGCGGCTTGGGGATTCCGGCGCCGGGCCAGGGGGCCGAGGAGGAGGCGGTTTGGGCGCGGTGGCGGCGGTGGGTGGCGGCGGTGGAAGGGCGGAGGAGTGTCAGGGAGACGCGGAGTGAGCGGGAGTGGTATCTACCTATCTATCAGCGGTATGCGGAGGATAAGGCGCAGAGTGAGCTTGCGAGGGCGGTGCGGAAGGGGAGGGGCGTTCCTTGATTTTGGGTGGTTGGATGGGGGTATGTGCTTGGTGCTTGGTCTAGGTTTAGGGCTATCTTCTAGAGTGGATAAATGAGATATCATTGATAACTATTTATCTGGTTGATACAGTGACTGTCCTCCCTACCAGGCCGACTGTTATACGAAACCGCTTAGCTTTCTTCGGCGAAATGATCCCCATAATGCTCCTCAAGAGCATGAACAAACACTGGTTGTTCTATGGCTATGAATCTGACTGGTAGATAGATCCTCATGAGGATCAAGAGAGAGAGAGAGAGGGAGAGAGGGAGGGAAGAAGAAGAAGGGAAGTGTTAAGGTGGCTCAACCACCGCCTACAGTTCGTAAGCATCAAGTAGAAAGCAAGAGAGATCAAAGCACCGCAAACTGGAAGACGAAGGAACAAGCTAAGATGCGCAATATCAGTAAGTTGATGGCTTTCGAGCCCGGTTGTACTGTGCTCCTGTCAAACTGCCAGCTTTCCCCTTGCTAGGGTTCAGTAGCTCATTTGTACATCGCTGTCGATTTTTTATGGACATTAGCCCAGATGTGTGCTTCGTGCAGTTTTTTTGCAGTTATGATTGTGCCTGGGGTATGTAGAAGCAGTGCATTGCTGCAGCTTTGCATGGAAACCTTGTCTTCGAGAGCATGAACTCATATGCATCCTGCAGACGCCTCCTAGCTGCCCTGTCCATTGGCAAAGCTATAAGAAGCAGGGCCAGATGTCGAGGCAGGTGGAACTGTGGAGATAATCGCATGAGACTCGCTGAGTCCATGGTATCCGTGCAGGTATAACTCCGTAGTGACTGCAAAAGAACCACAAACGGTTGCGCGAAACGCCTCGATTAACATCAGGAGTACTCGGATGATGATCAATTTGTCCTTTAGGTTCTAGACACTTCATCACTGGACCACTGATGGCAATCTCACGGCCGCTGGGTAAAAGCATCTTCGACTCGAGATGGAGGAGAGCTAAAATTGCTCGTCGTATGTATTATCCTAGTCATCCATCAGTATGGCATACATGTCCGGGAATCACGCCGAGCGAGGATTTGCTCCGAACGACGTCGCATCAAGGGCGACAGTGGTTCAATACCTCAATCATCTGGGCCATCAAAGAGTCGAAAAGAACATGAGTCTAATAATCATGTTGACGGCAGATATGCAGACGGTCCATATGGCACCGGATTTTCCGATATCGATTGAAATCGGATGGATATGGCGTAGAATACCCGCAAGGTTCGCATGTCATGCGCTTCCCTATTGACCCTCCCCCCCATCGTTTGTGTCATGGGAACTGTTTTGGATGTGGATGTCGCCAACCTTTTGTGTCCAACAGAGTCACCACAGGTTGGCCAGCGAGTTGGATCGAATCATCCTCTCAGACACTGCAATATTTGTGGTATCCAACGCAGACGCGCAGAACACTGATCTTCTTCAGGCAGCAATGATTTTATCAGTATTTGGTCCATAACCAGGGGCTGAGTACTCTGCACTCTACCAGAGCTTCTGCTCAAGAGTGTACTATAATAAAGGCGGCGATCACTGCGCTGATTTCGACCCATAGCAGCCACAGGACGCCGACAATAAATCCAGAATCCCTTCAATGCGAAGATGAGGTAGATCTCTTCCCCAGGATAGCAGGTATAGTTAGAGGTTTCTTTCTTCTGCCACTGTCAGATCCAATGGGCAAGTACTTGCCGCAGAGAAAGAAAGCAGCCGATAAGCTGAAGATCTAAACCTGGGTCACGTAGCCGGAAGACGGATCTTAGGCTGTGACATTGTTCTCCTGTGGCAGTCTCCGAGGCACGCAAATCTGTGTATCACGATCCAATGCTAAATTAGACGTTCTTCCAAAAATCGCTTTGGGGCGGTTCCCCTGGCCGCATAGCTTCTGCTTATAGGCATCAGGGATTCAAATTTCTGCAGCACCCCAACATGCAACAGTGCAATAGTGTTTCTTTTGTTCTCTAGCAGCCTTTTGTCGCATGATCGAATCCGCTCTCTGCATTTCAATCCATTAGGCGGCCTGACCCTTGCGCCGTTGTACAGGATAATGCACGGCTAAATCTTATAAGCTGGACCTTATCCAGTTCAATGAGATTTTCAGATTTGAAGCGTACCGTATTCAACGGCCATGCAGTAGTGCAGCAGTAGTGGAGAGCCGGGGACAGAAGCCACCTAGCTCAGCATATTGTGGGAGTGGTTTCTCTCGGACTCCGAGTTATCGCCCGTCTAAATGACGGAGGGGCCCGTATAGAACCTGTCCATACATCTCAATACGGACACCAAACCTGCCCAAGCTAAAGGCCGCTCCGTTCGATTTTGAAATCTACGGCCACGCACCAAGTCAACAACTTCATCGGGCTGCTCTGGCGCCAGCATGGAGGTGTAAATAGGAATTGACAGTGTGTGTGTTCCTTGGATAGAGCTCCACAGAATCCGTCTGGTAGATGATCACCCCGTTCAGCGTATTGCCGGTTGTATGGGTCGACGTCTTTTGGGGCTGGCTCGAGCTGAGCGACAGACACAGCAGGGTGTATAGACCGGGAGAGTGGCAGTTCCAAACGGTATGCCAGACGGCCGATTCGCTCGGAAACCGTGAGGGGGACGACATATTGGTGGTTCATATCGTCTTTGAAAATCTTCATGCGACTGGTTGGGATGGCGTATCCTTTGTGTAGGCGCAGATAGACTTTGTCCTGCTTGTTGAACTGCATTGAACGTGTGGCAGCTCAGCGCGTTCGACTGTGATCATGTCTGATGAAGTTTTCAACGTGACTACGATCTAGCAGCTGCCTGAAACGCCTATCAAGCTGTCAGATCATTTAGACCTGTGTATGAGGGTTGGTATTGAACTCACTGGAAGGGTCGCCATGGTTTCGACGAAGCAATGACAGAGCAAGAGACCCCGCAGGCAATATGCTTGAGCCTCGAATGGCCTCGTAGCGCCGTTCCAGCTTGGACGAGAAGTCAAGTTTTGCGAGGAAGACCTCGTATCTCTCAGGCGAAACATGTTGGTACCGTACGTGAGGTATTGGCTGGTTTCTCTCTCTTGCAAGTGGTCTTGGAGCGTTGCGAAGTCTCTGCTGCAGTCTTCGAGACTTCGAAGGGTTCGACGTGGACAGGTATACCGATGGCCTGTGCGAAAATCTGACGAGCCGCGTCAGAGACCAAGTCTGATTTCAGTGCTCGATGGCTTGTATTCGCCATGACTGCGGGTCGATAACCGCAGCTCGCGCTACTGCATCGATACAAGCTTCCTTTCCTGCGAGGGAAGTTAACAACGATTCAATAAGAAGGACCTGGATGGCACTCACTGGGACTGGGACAAGCTTGATGCTTAAGGACTAGAAGCCGGTTTATGGTTGATGAATACCATGATTGTAGTTTGAGGTAGTCCTTCCAGCTTGTGTGACTACTAAAAGCCTATTGGGCTTCCTCGTGGGTGCTGGCGACTGAACAGAGAAGCAGATCGGACAGGAGGAGAGCTTCTAGGTCAGGGTTCTCTCTTTGGATGATAAATTTGGTGCTGCATAATATGGTATGTGGCCATGGGTATGGTAGAAAAAAAGAGAGGATGATGAAGATGGAAGAAAGGTAGAAGGAATGAAGCTTGGTAGATGGGACATTTGGAAGATGGATGAAAGGAAGAAGAGGAGAAGACCGGACTGTTTTGAGAAAAGATTGGTGATTGCGATGGAAGCTCAATGAGTGAAAGAAATCTACCCAGGCTTGGTGCTTGTGAATACGACAATAGCCATGGGAATGATTCTACTGTATTCACAAGGCTGAGTCTAGGGCATGGAGTGGTTGCAAGTTCTTGATTAACTACATAATCAGATTGAATATCAGGGTTGTAGGTGAATTGGCTCAGGATCGTAGCAGCTGATTGAATAATCTAAAGAACAAGAATAGGTCTAAGTAACCCTCTGGGAGATGTAGATCTGGGGTAAGCATTCTATAATCACAGGATGTTGGGCACAAGCTAATTCAATGGCAAGTCATACTAAGCCTTCGCTCTCAAAGAGAATGCTCCCGTCAATCTCAAATCGCGAGAGCTTGCTCCAACATAGACCTGGTATTTGCCAGAAGCAACAAGCCATTGCTGGGCAGTCACATCCCAGTAGGAAATGTCGCGGCGACGCAGGTTGAACGTAACAATAGCTTCCTGTCCCGCTCGTAATTCGACACGCTCAAACCCACGAAGTTGACGAACAGGTTGATCTGCGGCATCTGGGAAGCCAAGGTAGAGCTGGGGAACCTCTGCACCTGCGAGCGTGCCATTATTGGTGATGCGCGCAGAGACGGTTCCCACAACGTCCCATAGATCGCTGTTTCCACCAACGGTATTATTACCCCGGGGAGCTTTGGTCGTGGCAGAAGGGGTCTTGATGGAGAGATCAGAGTACTTGAAAGTGGTGTAGGAAAGACCATGACCGAATGGGTACCGGGGAGTAACGTTCTTGGCGTCAAAGTAGCGGTAGTCAATGTAGACTCCTGTGGATGCAGTCAGCGTTGATAGTCCAAATAGCACCGATACCCGAAGATCAATGGCGGCTCACCCTCAGTAAAGTTGCATTGAGCAGTGTAGCAGAGTTCCACGTTGTAATCACTCTCATTCTTGGCGATAGTGTGGATAAGACGGCCGGAAGGGTTCACATCACCATAGAGAAGGTCCACGATTGCGTTGCCTGACTCCTGGCCCAGAATCGATCCGTAGAGAACTGCCGTCACGTTGTCGTGCTCAATCCACTGGTCCAGCAGTCGGGGCCCAACGGTGTTGACCACAACCACGGTATTGTTACAGTTGTCTGCAACGGTGTTCACCATGGTGTCTTGATCTTCATTATACAGCTCAGTGCGGTCAGCACCCTCACCCGACAGAGCATTGATGAAAACGAGGCAGACATCCGAGTTGGTAGCATAGTTGGCATAGGAGGGTGATACGGCGGTACTGTCAGTCCCTTCTTGAATCAGCGTGGATCCTCCACTGGAGCTATAAGTATCGTTCATAATCCATCGCATCATGGTCGCATCTTGCGCCGCTCTGATTGTCAGGGCAACGTAAGGGGTGATCACGTAAGGAACAGATGCTTGTCCGGAGCCTGTACCGGTGGCCAAATGGCCTTGGTAGGTAGGGCCAGACCCTTCAACGTTCATGGCAGCGTTCGGACCTCCCATGACCGGGCCAGCATGGGCTCCGAAGACACTCATCACACGGGGCTTTCTCAGGGGAAGGGTGCCGTCATTCTTCAACAACGCCATCGACTTGGCTCCGTTCTCGCGAATCAGCTTAGAATGATTGCCTCGTACGTCCACATAAGCATCCTGATCTTGCATCGCAGGCTGAAGGCCATTATCCAGATTGACATGGTAATAGGCAATAAGGTTTCTAATTGCCATATCGTTCAAACGGGCCTCAGTGAGAGTACCATTAGACAGAAGAGTCTCCATTGTAGAAGTGCTCCAGATGCTGCTCGATCCATAGTCCTCGCCGCCTAATGCTGATCCTTCGGCGCTGTTTTGCCCATTCATGTCGGGCCAGACCAGACCCGGGAAGCCAAGCTCGGTCTTCAGTGTCTTCATCAGAAGATCCGAGTTTTCGCAACTGTAAGTGCCATTAACTTTGGTCATTGCGCACATGACGGCACCGAGGCCATTCTTCACCGCATCGTAGAATGGCCAGAGATATGTTTCGTGCAAAGTCTTGTCGTCTGCGTTGGAGGAATAGGGTGCCGAGTCGGAATCCGAGGAGACAGTAGCACGTCTACTGAGTGAACCCGAAGGCTGAGGCCCAGGCGATGAAGAGTTTGAACCACCGAAGCCCATTCCTCCAGAAGGCATTCCTCCTCCACTTCCACCGCCGCCGCCACTGGAAGTTCGGTTGGTTTCTTGCTCGTAAAGAAGAAAATGCTAGTAGATGAGGCATTTCGTGTCAGCAAGCCCGTAAAGGACAATGGCCATGGATGAGAATCTCACCTTGCCACCGGGGATCACACCAGCGTCGACATAACCCTTGGTGGACAGGCCAGTAGCCAGGCCATTGAGATAGGGATCAGGGCCAAATCCCTCGACATTGCGACCACCCCAAGGGGTACGGCCCATTGGCTGAGAAGTAGGACCAGCAACCACCTGAACACCTTTATTGTAGAACTCCGACCCAACTGCTTTGGCTTGAGCATAGATGGCGTCGCGGTCCCAGGTCATAGCCAGAGCTGAAGACAAGCTGAAAGCAGAGACATAGAAATAGTTCTGAAGACCCATATCCCCATCAAGAAATTCTAGGGCACTGAAGTTACCACTGGACGAACTAACACTGCTACCGGTGATCAAAGCCAGCTTCTGATCAGTAGTCAGTCCTGCCACGAAGGCAGATGCCTTCTCATATGCAGCCTCCCAGTCTCCCAACGCAACTATCCATTGTTCAGCATGCTCCAAGCATCATAGTACATGGCCAGTCTACTTACCACCATTAGCCTTCAGTAGACCGAGTGTTGTAGAATTCGAGGCGCCTGTCAAGCCAAGCAAGGCTGCCGTCACGGCAAGTGAGATGAATCTCATCTTACCAGAAGATTATGAGAAAATGAAATCAGTGAAGGACTTTAGTCAGAAGGGATTATATGGATGAAAGAGCGAATATGGCCAGCCAGTGAGAATGAGTAGAGATCGCAAGCATCTTCTACGCAGGCGCATCGCTCCATTTATAGTCCTCATCTCTCGCAGTCTCCATCAACCCGTCTTGTCCTCAAGCATTGTCTTTGATGGACAGAAAGAAAAGACGCTCCGGCATTCGTGGTATGAAGTCCCTGAGTGTTACGACGCGAGGCCCACCAGTATTTTATCTGAACAGGTAATGTTCAGGGACATCATTTCTTCCTATAACCGATGCGGCAGCCGCAGTTCGCAACTTCTAGACTATGGAGTACTCCGTACTCCAGGCCAGACGCCAAGTCGGATAAGCCGAGTGCGCGCCGGTGATTAAAACCACAGCAAAACACCGAGACGAGGAATTGAGTACGGCAGTTTGGGTCATTACGGCATCCCGAAACCCCAGGTGACGCGTCACATCCAGGAATTGAAACCACCGGCTCAGTCGGCTCTTGGTGTGACCGCATCAACATCTTGCAAAGATAGGCTATGCTCTAAGATTCTTGCTGCCAGTGCTGGTTAGACCGCAGAACTTTCCATTAGTCAGCGGAAGGATAGTCGCATCAGCGTCAGGAACCAACAAGCCTCGGATGACCCGAATTGTGTACTGTCAGGTTCGCAGTAGTATCATCGACCAGGCAAATGTAGGGGTTTCAGTGAAATAAGCATAAGGAGCTTGTGAGCTTGTTCCGTGTTCACAGATAGGGCTGGCTAGTTTAGGCTGGTGGCGACCACCCACATGGCTCCGAAGCACCGTAGTATATTGTCTTGTAAACGTCAAGGGACGAGGGGATGGCTCAGGGTCGACGCCATAGTCCCTTAATGTGTCCTACTGTTGTCGGAAATCCTACTTATCGTGTACCGCAAAGTAAAGCAGTAAGTGCAGCCACATACTCAATAAGATCCAATTCCTCAATGAGTCTTGGAAGATGTCGGTGAATGGTCATCAGACACCGGGGAATGGTTCTGGTTAGGCAAGCCCATTAGCATAAGTTCTAGGATGCGCTCCATGTCGGCTTATGCCAAGATGAGACCATGAAGAAATAGGTAGACTTCAGCTTGAGCTTGCTATAAGAGACACGCCAATCGAATGCGCATGGTTCATCATGCACGATAACAATCCGGTGGGTCAAAGATGCATATTCAGGCAAAGATATGGATGAACTTGGGCTTGTGCTGAAGGTAAGTTAACTAACTTATGATAGATGAGTAACATTGTTGGTTGGAGAAACGAAGTAACCGAAATGGGAAAGAAGACAGACCCTATTCACGTGATCAGTGCATCCGCCGCATCACCATCATCATCATCAACCTCATCCTCGTCGTCGTCCAGCGATCTCCAATTGCGACAGGCTCGTATAGAAGCATTGCTATGGATATGCTTACAGACGACGGACTGAGTCCATCTTGTCTGAATTACTTCGACAATGGCCGATTCCAGCATCCACCGGATCATTGAGATCAGATCCGCCGTCAGAGCCACACTCTGTTCCTGGAGAACCAGACAAAAGTAGATATGTCACTGCATTGATTGTACAGTGACGAGAACAGTCAGAAACCCCAAGAATAAGAAATGGATCCTTCTCCAGGTGGGAAGAATACAAGGGGAAATAAGATGCAAAAGAGTACCCCGTGATGCTGCTTTGGGGGGGGGTGTGGAAAGTTGATTAATGCAGGTCTGTTTCCCTTTCCCCCCCTCCTCTTTCAACCACA